ACACACCGCTCACCCACGCGCGCCGGGCCTTGCACTTTGAATGCCGTGCGGCTCCTGTCGTCCAAACGTGGAGACGCGAGGGACCAGCCTGGCCCTTCCACCTCGTGCGTGTGGAGACGCTTCCCTGAACGTACCTTACCTTACCGCAGGAGCTCGTGGAGTACTCCAAGGCGGCCCTGGCCAAGGTGGCATGGCCCGCGGACATGCAGGAGTACTTCTTCGAGACGGAAGACAAGACCGCCTTCACAAAGGCGACAATTAATTAATTCATTATCAAGACCGCCTAATGAATAGTTAATGAACTGACGAGACCGCCTCTTCAAAGGCGACACTCCCCTCCCCGCTGTACACTGTAGTCGCCCCCCCCTCCCCCCCTGAACTTGCTCCCCGCAGTGTGCACTGTGAGAGCCCCTGTTGTGAGGAGAGCGCAAGGGGTTGCAAAGGCGACAACGCCTGAGAGACCACCTGAAGACAGCGGGCACGAGGCCCCACACATTGGATTGATCGGCGGCTCGCTCCACGACGGCGCTAGGAAACAACCCGCAAGGAGGAGGGGATGCTGCCCCGCTTCCTCTCGGGCAAGCGCAAGTGCTACGGCGACTACGAGCGGAAGCAGATTCTCGAGGCGGTCGAGGACATCGACTCGGACACCTTCGCGACCTCCGAGGACACGCCGAGAGACAGCCGAGAGACAGCCGAGAGACGGCCGAGAGACAGCCGAGAGGCAGCCGAGAGGCAGCCGAGAGACAGCCGAGAGGCAGCCGAGAGGCAGCCGAGAGACGGCCGAGAGGCAGCCGAGGGACAGCCGAGAGGCAGCCGAGATACAGCCGAGAGGCAGCCGAGAGACGGCCGAGAGAGAGGCAGCCGAGAGGCAGCCGAGAGGCAGCCGAGAGGCAGCCGAGAGGCAGCCGAGAGGCACAGCCGAGAGGCAGCCGAGAGACAGCCGAGAGACTAGCCGAGAGGCAGCCGAGAGGCAGCCGAGAGGCAGCCGAGAGACAGCCGAGAGACGGCCGAGAGAGAGGCAGCCGAGAGGCAGCCGAGAGGCAGCCGAGAGGCAGCCGAGAGGCAGCCGAGAGACAGCCGAGAGACAGCCGAGAGACGGCCGAGAGACAGCCGAGAGACAGCCGAGAGGCAGCCGAGAGACAGCCGAGAGGCAGCCGAGAGGCAGCCGAGAGACGGCCGAGAGAGAGGCAGCCGAGAGGCAGCCGAGAGAGAGGCAGCCGAGAGACACAGCCGAGCGACAGCCGAGAGAGGAGACAACCGAGAGAGACAGCCGATCGATCGAACGACTCCCTACAGGAGCTCGACGCCGCCAAGGCTCAGATCGGCGCCCTCCAGAAGCAGATCGACGACAACGACGGCGACGACGACCAGACCGCCGCTTTCGCAAAGGTTGGCCCGACAATGAGACTCGCCCGTAGCTATTCGGTGTAGTCAGTAAGGTGTTGACTCTTCATCGACCAGTGCAAAGGCCCGCGCCCCCGACCAGTGTGAGTCACATCAACTCTTAATTGTTGCTGGAGTCATGACTGACCGCCCCCCCCCCCCCCCGCCACAACCACTCGCACAGGCGGGCCTCGCGCTCGGCGTCACTGGCTTTGTCTTCGGCGCCGCGCCGCCCTCCTCACCCGCGCCGGCCGCCCTCGCCTTCTCCAAGCAGGCACGGAGCTGCCGCCTGAATGGGACTTAGGCGCCGCCGCCCTCGCGAGATTACCCGAGATCACCCGAGACTCCCCGAGATTCCCCGAGATTCCCCGAGATTAGGCGCCGCCGCCCTCGCCGTGGCCCTCACCAAGAAGCACGCCGTCGTCGCAAAGCCGAGCGTCAAGGTCTGAGGATGATGATAGAAAGGCGAAGAACAGCCAGGCTCGGACTGAACACCAGCGCGGTATGGGTGGACGCAGGAGACAGAAGATGACGGCACGCGCGAGCGACACACAGACACACAAAGAACTATCACAAGACACTCAGCCAGCTGACACTGCCACGCATCCCGAGTGAGCGTACGGCACTACGTCACTCAGGTCTCCGAGGCGACCGTCGTTGGCGGCGTCTGAGTGGCCCGCCGCCGCGCGCCGGGCTCCAAGCGCCGGGTGAGACACAGACCCGCCCGCGAGAGTCGACGAGATGCTGGGGCCGAAAGGTCGCGACTGATGCCCTCGCTAATGACCCATAGGCTCTCGCCTGGCGGCCCGGCGCGGCGGCGGTTCCATGGCCTCGCCCGCCGCCGCGGCCCCCCTCCCTCCCTTGTCCGCCTTGCGGCGTGCCCGGACATGACGCCCCGCCCTCACCCCCGCTGACAGCGGGAGGGGACCTGGGCCGAGATACGGGCGCCGGCATGGCGGAGGGAGCCGCCCCGCTCGCCGCGCTCGCGGCGCCGCTCACCGCTTTGCCTTGGAAGGCTTCGGTGCAGCCGGTGGGGCCGCGGAGGCGGGGGGCTGGCACGGGAGGGCAGAGGGGTCGCTGGTGCCGCTGCCTCTCTCGCACTGAAGCGGGGTGCCCCATGCGCGGCCGGAGGCCGTGAGGGGGCGCGCAGATGTGAGAGGTAAGGTAAGGTAAGGTAAGGTAAATTTCTCCACACACACAAGTGGTGGGGCAAGGGGGGGCGACCCTCGCATCTCCACACCCGGACACGGGCAGGAGCCCCACGGCATTCAAAGTGCAAGCACTGGCCCGGTGCACGTGGGTGAGCAGCCTGCCCCTCCCTCCCGACAAACCAACCCCCGCACACACACAATCGCACTCTGGCCATCGAATGACTCCGAATGACTCACTGTGTGTGCTAAGACAAAATCTCCGACGATGTGAGGTAAGGTAAGGTAAGGTAAACGTCTCCACACACACAAAGTGGTGGGGCAAGGGGGGGCGACCCTCGCATCTCCACGCCCGGGACACGGGCAGGAGCCCCACGGCATTCAAAGTGCAAGCACCGGCCCGGTGCCGTGGGTGAGCAACCTGCACCCCACTCCCTCCCTCCCAGACACAACCCGCACACAATCCCCACAGCGTGGTCGTCTACGTGTTCAGAAACACCAAGCAGCGAGGCGAGGGTGGAGGGGTAAGGGGCTGTGTGGGGCAGAATCTTCATCCGGCTTATCTGTGACTACTCCATCTAGCCTGGGGGGTCGCAGGAGGGGGGGGCAGAAGGTAAGATATGGGTGAGGCCAGGGGTGGGGACCTAGAATAAGTCAAAGGACATGTTCTCGGCCCCGCCATCGCCGCCGTCGCCCTCGTCCGCCTCGGAGGCGGAGGTCGTCGGGCGGGGCGTCTCGCCCGTCGCGAACCTGCCGCCGAACACGGCGTCGGCCGGCGCCGAGGCGCCGGCAGCCGTGATCAGCTCGGCAACCTTTCGGTCCCTGCAGGCCGCATCAATTTTGCCTCGCCGGGACGGCTCGTAGAGCTCGCTAGCGAGCCAGTCCCGGGCAACCTTCGTCGCCACGGAGCCCATAGGGACCGTGGCGTACACCATGTCACCGAACCCGCTGCCCTCTACACCATGTCACCGAACCCGCTGCCCCCCTCGGGAGGGAGCGAGTAGGCGACCTGAATCTTGGACCCGGTGGGGATGCGCGCCGCCTGCGTCGCAGCCTCCAGGCCGTCCATGACGAACTCGACGTTCTCGCGCAGCTGCGCGTGCGGGTAGTCCGCACGCTCGGCCTCGCTCGCAGCCGCCGCCGCCGCAGCCTTCTCCGCCTTGTTCTTCTTCTGCCGGGCCTTTTTGGCCCTGCGAGCCGCGGCCCGAGCATCTTTCTGCTCCTCCGTCAGCTCCTCCTTCTTCCGCGGCGCGGTGCGCTCGATGAACGAGCGCTCCGCCGCCTGCACAGACTCGCGGTCGCCCGCGGCCTTCTCGTGCTTCAGGTCGACCTCGATGGGTAGCCAGGCCTTATCAGCCTGACCTGCGACGCACCTGCGAGCCTTGCGACCATCACCGCGTCTTGCAGTTGCGCGCGATCGTAGCTATTCCAGGGTCCGCTGCGCATCCCCGGCGGCACGACGGTGGCCGGCGCTTGCGCACCAGCCCCGTCCGCCACCGGGTCCGCGGCCGCGGTCCCTGTCATAGCTACGCGCGCCATGGAGAACGGCGGGCAATCGACGATGTGAGTCTGAGTCTGAGAGCAGAGGCGCGGGGGAGGGGCGTAATATGGTTGCTGATAAAAGGAGTAGGGTGTGTGGGGGGGGTTCACAAGAACTCAAAAGCTCCTTCCGAAACAATAAACATTTTGAATCTGTGCTCTGTGCACCGTGGCTTCAGAACTGGCTTCAGCGGACTCCCGGAGAGCGGAGAGAACCCAAGTGGATGTCGTGCGACATGCTTCACACAAATGTCCGCCTCGTGCGTCGATCGTCGCCTCCGCGCCCTGTCAGCTGTGGATTTCAAGTTTTCTGCCCCCCCCCCCCCCCCCCTCCTCCGCCCTCCCCCCTTCTCACTCCCGCGACCACACCTCGATCTTCTTCGGCAGCAGCTGGTTCGACAGGTCCTCTCCGTGGCCTAGTCGGGCGTCTTCGCCCTCGCCCCAAGCGAAGACAGCGCCATCGGCGGTGAGGGCGAGGCTGTGGACTTCCCCTGCCGACACAGCCACGACGCGCCGCGCCGCAAAGGCCTCGATCTTCTTCGGCAGCAGCTGGTTCTGCTCGTCGCCGTGGCCCAACTTGCCAAAGGCTCCATAGCCCCAGCTCCAGACGGCGCCGTCGGCAGTGATGGCGAGGCTGTGGGCGTCTCCAGCCGACACAGCCACGACGCGCCGCCCTGCCAACGCCTCGACCTTCTTCGGCAGCAGCTGGTTCTGCTGGCCGCCGTGGCCCAGCCTGCCCCCACCTCCATGGCCCCAGGTCCAGACGGCTCCGTCAGCGGTGATGGCGAGGGTGTGGTACCCTCCAGCCGAAACAGCGACGACGCGCCGCCGAGCAAACGCCTCGATCTTCTTTGGCTGCCGCTGGCTCTGCTGATTGCCGTGGCCCAACTGGCCACAGGCTCCAAAGCCCCAGCTGCAGACAGCGCCGTCAGCGGTGATGGCGAGGCTGTGCGCGGATCCAGCCGACACAGCCACGACGCGCTGCCCTGCCAAGGCCTCGATCTTCTTGGGCAGCAGCTGCCCCTCCCGGTTGCCGTGGCCCAACCGGCCATCTTCTCCATCGCCCCAGCTGCAGACGCCGCCGTCGGCGGTGAGGGCGAGGCTGTGCATGCCTCCAGCCGACACAGCGACGACGCGCTGGCCAGCTAAGGCCTCGATCTTCTTGGGCTGCCACTGGTCTTCCTGCTGGTCGCCGTGGCCCAGCTCGCCCGGCCAGCCGCCGCCCCAGGACCAAAGGGCGCCGTCCGCGGAGAGAGCGAGGCTGAAAAGTCCTGACGCCGCCACACCAATCGCGCGCTCGCCTCCGAGGAGTGACGGGAGACGGGTCGGCGTCTTCAGCTGCAGCACGCCCTCGCCGTGGCCGAGAAGGCCTGGATACAACTGCGCCTCGTCGACGTCCTCGCCCTCCTCGCCCTCCTCGCCCTCCTCGCCCTCCGCTCCCGTGCCGCACGACGAGAGCCGCCCCTCGCCGTCGATGAAAAGGCTGTGCCGCTCGCCTGCCGACGCCCTCGCGAGCGGGTTGGACTCGCACAGCAGCGCCGAATAGCACAGCCACCGCACGGCGCAGCTCTCGCTCTCTGGCTGCGCAAGCAGCTCGTAGCCGCGCTCTTGCGCCCACAAGCGGATGGCCTCCACCGCAAGCGAGGCGTGGAAGAGAAGCGAGACGGCCGCGGCGCGAGCGATGTCGGCGGGGCTGTTGCAGTGAGAGAGGGCGCGCGCGAGGAGCTCCGTGGGGAGGTCGAGGAGGCGGGGGGGCGGCGGCGTGTCTGGCGAGGGAGCGGCGGTGGAGGCGGCGGCGAGGCGCGAGCGGCGCGGCCGGGTGGACATCGCGAAGAAAAGAATTCCTCGGGCTGTGACAGAGTGAGGTCCTCACATCAAGAAAGGTCCTCACGTGAGCTGCAAGAAAGGTCCTCCCGTCGTCGGGGTGTGCAAGAAAAGAATTTCACAACCTTGACCACACTGCTCACAAAGAATTGCAGATCGCGGCCAAGACGTGGAAGGAGGCGGAGAAACGAGCGCGGTCTGCGATCGTCACCGCCGACGCCCTCACCATCCAGAACTCGGCCGCCGCCCTCGGCTTCGAGCTCACCCTCGACCCTCGCGATCTCGCCCGGCGCTCGACGTCGGGTCCTCGGCAGCCATTGCGGTCGGCGCCACCACCTCCTCCCGCCCCCCCCGCAACCACTGCCGCGCGGCCGCCAATGCGACCGACCCCACCCTCCTTCCCCGACCCCGCCCTAAACGCCCCCGACAGCGAAGCCCGCGCCGCGCGCGGCACCCCCACCGACTCTGCCTCCGACCCCAGGGCCTAGGCGGCCCGCCATGAAATCTAGCCGTGTGTGCTGGCGTCCGGGTCCCAGCCGGTTTTCACGTAACAAGTACACACCGCGTTGCCGTCGCGATGCTCCTCCTCGCAGCTGGTGGGCTCGCAGTGTCAGCTGGTCTGACGGGAGGTACGCACGCGAGGACGCTGACCAGCGCCCAGCGGTACGCCGCCTTTGACTGGATGGCTCACTGGTACCCGATGGCGTGGACGCGCGATCTTCCTGTCGACCGGCCCACACGCGTCACGCTCTTCGACGACGACTACGCGGTCGTGCTGCGATCGGACGGGCAGCCGCCTCTGGCGCTACGTGATGCCTGTCCTCACCGGCTCGCGGCGCTCAGCGAAGGCCGGCTGACGGAGCAGGGGTTCCTGCAGTGCGCCTATCACGGGTGGGCGTTCGACGACAGCGGTGCGTGCAAAGCGATCCCGCAGCTGCCTGCTGGCGGGAGCCTCGCCTCTGCTTGCACCCGCGCGGCGACGGCGGTCGTGTCTCAGGGCATCCTCTGGCTGCACCCAGCGCCGCGTGGCACGGCTCCACTGCCAGAGGTGCCAAGGGTGCCAGAGATGGACGACGATCGGTACAAGTGGTCACCGGCCGTGCGCGACCTGCCCATCGACTACTCGCTCCTGGTCGAGAACATCCTCGACCCCGACCACGGCCTCTTTGCGCACCAGCTGCCCGCCTTCGACCTCTACTCGGCCAGCCCCGACGCGCCGCAGCGCGTGACCGTGCGCGCGGTTGAGGACGAGGCTGAGGACGAGGCTGCCGCCTTCGCCATCGAATCCCGCGTCGCAGCGTGGGCCAAGCTGACGAGGCGGCAAGCCGAGAGCGCCGGGAGCACTGCCGTGCGCACGGCGTACGCTGCCGCCTCCGCCGACACGCCGCAGCTCGAGGCGTCGAGCACCTTCCGCCCGCCGGCGGTCATCGTCAGCTGCCGGCGCGACGGCGCGGGCGCGTCCAGCTTCCTGACGTGCTTCTTCCTCTCGCCGACGGGCGTCGGCCGCACGCGCTTCATGGCGGTGCGCGCCTCCCATCGCGCGGATCGCAAGGCCACGCCCCCGCCTCTTTTTGTGACTCCTTCGCGCTCTTCTGTTGCTAGGCGGGCGTCGGCCGCGGCCTCCCCGTCGCGCTGCCTCGCTGGCTGCAGCACGTGGGCCTCAACAATTTCCTCGACCAGGACACATTCCTCCTCGCGACGCAGCAGCCGCACGTGCTGCGGGCGGAGCTCGAGCGCCGTCACTCGTCTTCGTCGACAGCGCCGTCGTCGCCATGTTCAGCGGCTGCCGAGGACGGCACGGCGCCGCCGGCCGCGCGCGAGCAGCTCTCTCTGCGGCGAGCGCTGTACAAGTAGCGCTCGCTGACGGGGAAGATGCAGCTGTCAAGGGACGCCGCTCACACCCCTTGCGCTGTGGATAGGTACCGCTCGCCGACGGAGAAGATGCTGCTCGAGGTGGGCGCTTTCCTGGACGCCGCCACCCCGCGCATGCCGAACCGGCACCGCGCGCCTAGCAGCAAGATTCACTCCGAGATCCGGCCCCACGCCTCTCTCCTCCACCCTATTATGAACCAAAAGACACTGGACAGGTACCGCTCACCCGAGCTGCTCACGGCAGCGTGCCCGCCGCGGCACGTGGTCCTCGACCGCGCTGCGCAGCACCCTAGATGCGAAAGACAGACCGGGCATGCGGCTGTATCCACTCTGCATGCGGCTGTATCCACTCACAGCCTTTGTATGCGCGCGATGCTTTGTATGCGCGCGATGCTCCGAGTACGCGGCGCGGACTTGCGCCTGACGTCCGCGTGAATTCAACTTAGGCGCAGCACACACGCGTCTGCCCCGACTCCTCGTCGCTCGTCGCGCGGCTTCGAATGGCGCGCAACGCGGCGTGGGCGCTCGCGCTGGCCGCTGTCGGCCGCGCGTCGGCCGGCGGGCCGCTGCTCAGCCGAGGGGCCGTGTCCGCGGTGCTGCTTGCCGCGGCGGGGTGGGTGGCACACGCGCTGCGCAGAGAGTTTACCTTCTGCTACCCCGAGCGGAAGCGCGACGCGGACTTGCGCAAGGTGCCGCGCGTCTTTGCAGACGAGCGCCTGCTGCGGCGAGAGGCGGTGTGAGCTGTTCGCTCTTTAGTCCGTTTTTGGCTGATCTTGGAGCACTTCACACCTGTTTTTCTTCTTGTTCTTCGCGCGCCCTCCAACTCCAAGATAAAACATGCTTGACCCCTTCCGTGGCTACCGCCACGCCCAGCGCGACGCTCAGGCCCTTCTTCCTCGACGTCAAGCTAAAAGTAAAACCCGGCGAGGGCCTCACTCATGTTGTCATGAATCCGGACGCGGGCGCATCAATCGTCGGCCTCCTGCTTGCTCGGTCAGAAGCCGGCGAGCCTGTCCGACTCTACGTAGCGCTTGCCCCGCCGGCGCAGCAGCGGGGCGCGCCAACCTGCGCGCTCGTTCGCGACTTTGCGATTGGCGGGCACGATGGCGCGAACCTCGAGTTCACGTCAGGCCGCTCCCGCCTGATGGTCCATTCTCAGCTGCGACCCCCTGATGGCATGAATGAACGTGTGCCATACACTGCTGCGGCTCTGGCGATGGTGAAAGCAAATTTGCGTTTTTCTTTTCCTTCATTTGTAGCGCCAGTCCAACGGGCGTGAATTCTTTTCCTTCATTCCTCGCGATGTCCCCGCCGCGTCGCCGCTCGCGCCGCCTCGCCGCCGCCTCCACCGCCGCTCCCTCGCCAGACACGCCGCCGCCCCCCCGCCTCCTCGACCTCCCCACGGAGCTCCTCGCGCGCGCCCTCTCTCACTGCAACAGCCCCGCCGACATCGCTCGCGTCGCGGCCGTCTCGCTGCTCTTCCACGTCTCACTCGCGGTGGAGGCCATCCGCTTGTGGGCGCAAGAGCGCGGCTTCGAGCTGCCGGCGCAGCCAGAGGGCGAGAGCTGCGCCGTGCGGTGGCTGTGCTATTCGGCGCTGCTGTGCGAGTCCAACGCGCCGGCGAGGGCGGCGGCAGGCGGACACAGCCTCTTCATCGACAGCGAGGGGCGGCTCTCGTCGTGCGGCTCGGCAGCGGAGGGCGAGGAGGGCGAGGAGGGCGAGGAGGGCGAGGACGTCGACGAGGCGGAGTTGTATCCAGGCCTTCTCGGCCACGGCGAGGGCGTGCTGCAGCTGAAGACGCCGACCCGTCTCCCGTCACTCCCCGGAGGCGAGCGCGCGATTGGTGTGGCGGCGTCAGGACTTTTCAGCCTCGCTCTCTCCGCGGACGGCGCCCTTTGGTCCTGGGGCGGCGGCTGGCCGGGCGAGCTCGGCCACGGCGACGAGGAAGATCAGTGGCAGCCCAAGAAGATCGAGGCCTTTGCTGGGTGGCGCGTCGTCGCTATGTCGGCTGGAGGCATGCACAGCCTCGCCCTCACCGCCGACGGCGGCGTCTGCAGCTGGGGCAATGGAGAAGATGGCTGGTTGGGCCACGGCGACGAGCAGCACCAGCCACTGCCCAAGAAGATCGAGGCCTTGGCAGGGCAGCGCGTCGTGGCTGTGTCGGCTGGATCCGCGCACAGCCTCGCCATCACCGCTGACGGCGCTGTCTGCAGCTGGGGCTTTGGAGGCCGTGGCATGCTGGGCCACGGCGACGAGCACAACCAGCTGCTGCCGAAGAAGGTCGAGGCGTTGGCAGGGCGGCGCGTCGTGGCTGTGTCGGCTGGAGGCAACCACAGCATGGCCCTCACCGCCGACGGCGCCGTCTGGAGCTGGGGCAATGGATGCTTTGGCCAGCTGGGCCACGGCGACGAGCAGAACCAGCTGCTGCCGAAGAAGGTCGAGGCTTTGGCTGACCAGCGCGTCATCGCTGTATCGGCGGGGAACTTCCACAGTCTCGCCCTCACCGCCGACGGCGCCGTCTGGAGCTGGGGCGATGGTCTCTACGGCCGGTTGGGCCACGGCGACGAGCTGAACCAGCTGCTGCCGAAGAAGATCGAGGCCTTGGCGGGGCAGCGTGTCGTCACTTTGTCGGCAGGGGTAGACCACAGCCTCGCCCTCACCGCCGACGCCGTCTTTGCTTGGGGCAAGGGCGATACCGGCTGCTTAGGCCACGGAGAGGACCTGTCGAACCAGCTGCTGCCCAAGAAGATCGAGGTGTGGTCGCGGGATTGAGGTCGCGGATATCGAAACGCCTAGCGGTGAGGCGGACAGCGGAGAGGCGAGCACACAGTCGCTGGCCTGACTGGACACTGATCTTTTCAAGAGGCCGCTGAGGTGCCGGCGGCGGGGTAGTGGGGTTTGTCGGGAGGCGGGGTGGGGTGGGCGCCTTGGCACATTGAATGTGTGCCCACAGGGCTCCTCTGCCCATGCGGTGAGTTCGGGCGTGTGAGGTAACGACTGCCAAAAAGCTCTCCCAAAACGCAACCATGGTCCATGTGGTCCATGCGGGATATTGCCGACACGAGACGCGACATACACTCGAGACGTCGAGAGTACGGTCTAAGGGAAATTTTGGTGAGACGTCTCTGTCTCACGGGTGTTTCGTCCCTGTCTCACTTGCATGATTTTTTCCGTCTCTCTGTGTCTCTCCAAGCGTCTCTCTGCTGTCACAGTGCTGAGTGTCAGTGTCGCCGGTGCGTCTCAGATGCGTCTCAGATGCGTCTCACATTCGTTCTCTTTCGGCCGCGTATCACTCAGTCTCACGGCTGGGCTGAGACGTCACAATTCCTGAGCGAAGTGAGTCGTCTCACTTCCGTCTGAGACAGTGCTGAGCCACAATGAGACGTGGCGCAGGGCGGGGTTTGCGACGCCACAAGCCGCTGCTTGACTGAGTCGTCTCAGGTCCGTAGAGACCATGCTGAGCCAACCTGAGACGTAATTGTGAGACAGTGGCGATTGGGGAGACTCAACTCAGGCTGTGTCTGAGGTGCGGCCTGGCGGGTCTCGGTGAGTGTAGACGAACCCCAAGCATAATCGCGCCCTCTGGCTCAAACGGCGCGTAGCCGCCGGTTGCTCTATCGCGCTCTCAGACGCAAACGGCGGGCGTAGCCGGTTGCGCTCGCGGGCAGGGCGGTTCGGGTTAGTGCCCAGCACTACGCTCTCGCCCTCTGTTCGTCGCGTTCTTCACGCCGCCGCCCACGCCACCGCCCACGCGCCGGCGGCGGCGGCGCCGTCATCCACGCCGCCGCCCGCGCCGTTGCCCCTGCCGCCGCCCCCGCCGCCGCCGCCGCCGCCGCCGCCGCCACTGCCGCCCTTGCCGCCCTCGCCCACCCCATTGCGCCACGCTGCTTCCCTCGCCACGTCGTTGCCCACGCCGCCGCCCCCTCAGCCCTTACAGCCGTCGCCGGGCGTTACCCACGCGCGCCGCCCCACTCACCGCCACCGCCCTTGCCGTTGCCACACCTGGCCCACATACCGCCGGCGCCCTTGATTAGGCACCGCCGCCACCCTCGCCACCGTTGCCCACAACCGGTCCCACGCCACCGCCCACGCGCCACGCCGCCGCCGACACCGCCGCCGGCGCCGCCTGTGCCAACGCCACCGCTGCCCTTCCCACACGAGCACCCACCTCGCCGGCTCGCCGCCACCCATGCTGTCGCCGCCCTCACCCCTCTGCCGACCGCGCTACAACATACTGGCTAGCAAAGACGACGCAGCCTATAGTCTCGACTCTCCCGCCAATGTCTCACGATTGCGTCTCAGGTTGGCTGATGGCATGGTAAGATGGTATCTGACAACGGCAGCGGCTTGTGGCGTCTCACACCCGTTCTGCGCCGTGTCTCATCACGCCGTGGCTCAGCACAGTCTCAGAAGCAAGTGAGACGAGTCGCGCTCCTTGGCGCAGCAACTATGCCGTTGTGAGACCGAGTGAGACGAGGATTGCCGCTTGTTCACCGTGAGACGAGTGTGAGACGCTCTGAGATGAAATGACGAGACGTAGTAGAGACGACAGTGTCACACAGCAGGGGTGAACATTTGTCTCACTGGTGTCTCAAACACGTCTCTGAAGGTGACTGTGCCGTGTGTGTGACATCCTTGAGACAAAGTGAGACTGTTGCTGTGACCTAAGGCACCCGCAAAATATTGAATATATTGCTCCAATTGTTACAGGGGCGAGAATCACTCTTTTGCGGGTGCCTTAGTCGAGAGAGTCCCTAGGAGAGTCCGCCCGACCCGCTCTGGGTCTCTCAGCGCTCTCCTCTCTCACTCAACGGACAGGAACGCGGGCGAAACACACGCGGAACGGGGTCCGCGCCTTAGCCCGTCCACTTCCGATAAGCCAACTATCCGCCCCGCCACATGGCGCACACAAAACTCATAGGAAAACCTGCGCCATGTGCTACTCACCCACCACCTCGCGAGAACACCTCTCGAGCATCCGGCGCATCGCGCTCCACGCCACGTCGCGCCGCAGCGCCTCGACGGGCACCGGCTCGCCCTCCGCCTCGGGGTGCGCCTCTCGCCACGCCGCCTCCTTGCGCTCCAGCGCGGCCGTCAAAGTGGCTCGCATCGCCTCGCCGGGTGGCTGCGCGCCGACGCCGATCTCGGTCCCGCCCGCGGCTTCTTGCTGGGAGTCGCACTCGTCAAACCATCGCAGCACCACGCGGTCCGCACGTACCGCCCACATCCCCTCCACCGCTGAGAAAGCGCAGATCGACCGCCGGGCCGCGTAGTCGTCGTTAAGGAGCGGTTTTTGGAGCCGTACGAAGAGGTCCCAGACGGGCGAACATGCGGTTTTTCGACGACCACACGCGATTTGGTATCTGGTTTTTGCTAAAAACGGGCTGCCTAGTGCAGCATCACTAGTACAACACGCAACCACACTGAGAGCTCCACACTAGCCGGTATAGGCGAGCCCCGGCGGCCTCACCGTCGCCGCTCGCGGCGGAGCCGACGGCGGAGCCACGGGCCGGTGCGACAATTTGGGGGGACATGAGCTCGCCGGGACGTCGCCGACGGCTCGGCGAGCCTCTTCCCGCCAGCGCGGGACGGCCTATCTACAGGAGGGAGGAGGAAGAAGACGGAACTGAGCACTAGGTTCGTGATCCCGTCGCCGGCAAAGGCTGGGAGAGGGGCGGCAAGCGACGGGCGGGTCCGCGACCTTTTGGAGCTCGCAAGGAGGCTCTCGATGGTTGCCTGC